AAAACTTGTGGATGACACCTTCACCATCACCTTCACCCTCTTGTTTTTAGTTTTTCATTTGATTTAGAAGATCCTTAGAAAAAATTTTTTTATCAAAAGAATTCTCCTTCTTTAGTCTATCGAACAGAAAAAGAAAATTTGGATTTGCTTTAAAATCTGCTTTAGTAGATTGAAATTAACCTGTCGGGACATTTGGATACAAAAAAATCTGTCGGGACATTTTTCGGGTAAAATACTATTTTCTCACGAACGGTACGTGCTTAAGAGGTGAAATTTTTACCACAGATTTGTCATATAGTCAGCTAAAACGGATAAAAAAAATCATGGCCTTAGCTCTTACAATTACCGAGAAATCAAAAAAACAAAATTCAAAATCTGTCGGGACATTTAGCAAAAACAACAATACCCCTACCGTCTTATTTTTAGTTTTTTATTTGATCCATAAGGTCGTTCGAAAAAAATTTTTTATCAAAAGATTTCTCGCTCTTTACTCTACCGAACAGTAAAAAAAAATCGGCATTTGTTTTTGCCTTGGCTTCAGTAGAGTGAATTTAATCTGTCGGGACATAAACTGGTCAAAGTGTATGTTTAGATAGTCTTTGCAAGATTTTATCAGAAAATTGAAACCAAAGCTATGATTAATTTATATGATGAGAAAGAGAAAAGTCTTAGCTATAAAATGGTTATGATGAATTATTTTTAGCTATTCAAAATCGTAGGATAGTAAGAGTGATTCTCGTTGATGGGTGGGCCCAAAAAGCACTCGTTTTGACCTTTCATGCTTGAAAATTTCACAGCCATGGCGGCCAAAAAACTTGATAGTTTTACGGTAAGGAGGATAGACTATAAGGAGTATTTGAAAAAAAAATTATCAAAATTCGTTGAGCAGAACTGGAGATATAAGCGTTTTGGTGTTGGAAACGCAACCGTACAATGCCAGCGCAATTCCGACTCATATATATACTGATAGAACGTTGAGTTAGAATGAACGATTCTATTGATAAAGAGGTGAAAATTAAAATATATTAGTTAAATAATAAGAGGAATCTATAATTAATATCTATAATAATAGATTGCTATTCTAGATGAGATTATAGGTCCTTTTCTTTTTTCGGATAGGAATTTTTATTCAAAGACACGAATTCTAAATAAACGAATAGAAAGTTTATCGGTAGAATAAACTCAATGAGAGAGAAAGCAAAATTCTCTCCGTTTGTTTAATGTCTTTCGATAAGAGTTTATGGTAAGTTTCTGTTCGTATTGAAATTATTTTTGGATATATTACTGATGATAATATTGAATTTGATAAAATATATCTTTTAAATCTTTCCCTATTATATATTATGTTGAGATGTTAATATAGACGGTCTTTATATATTCGTTTTAGAATATTTATTATATTGAATCAGTTTCTTCTATGACGATACTTTCAATTGATAATCTTTTTTTATCTTATTATATTAAATTAAGAACTAGATATAGACATGTTAAACGTTTAATGGTCAATTTAATATTCATTGCAACAGTTTCACATTCAATATGAAATCGTTTTGGAGGAGAACAGAACCATAAAAAACCTTCGAGATAGTTTGATCATCGTAATAGTGTCACTGTCGGCAAGGAGTTTCATCGATGATCAGTTATCGAAAACAAGCTATAGATCTTAGCAGAGCAATCCATCTTTAGCTTGTGTTGCCTGATCTGTGATGGGACTAGCATTGAAAGTAACTGAAGCAAACCGGTCAGGATATGTCCCAATTCTTCATTGATTTTTCAAGGCTTATTAGACGCCAACATCAATTAGAAAGAATATCTGAACAATCGAAACTCTAACAAAATAAATGGTATATAGCAAAAAAAAAATGATTTGATAATAGATAGACGATCGAATAAATATATAGGGATATATTATGTGTAAAGTAGATGTTCACTAGACGAGACATTACTTTAACAAAATCTATGTCAATACAATGATTATTCTATTCACTTTTTATATTAATTCAATTGAATAATCAAATCTTGTCGATAATAATAGAAAGTATTCTTTCACATATGAGCTGATGATTTATATAGAACTTACCCTATTTATTAGATCGGTTTGCATTGAATTCTTTTTGGTATTTGCCATTGGTTGAGGTTGAAACATTTCTTCTAAGTTCGAAGATCGACATAATAACTGTGTAAAATGGTTAAAAGTGTTTGAAGATGAATAAGTAGTCGAATCTGTTTCACGAGACTTTAGTTTACCGAATAGGCCAAATGTGATTTTGAAAAGACGATTGTGTGTGTGCATGTATTCTTAAACATATGTCATTCTCATTTGGATTCTCACAATGACTCATTCTTTACACAACTGACTGCGTTCTTTTGTAATTCAAAGTTTCTACAGTATGAAGCAAAATGGGAATTTTTCGACTTTCTATTCATTCTTACAAACAGAATTCTTATGCATGTGAGAATATTATAGGTATAAATGCAACTAAATAGAAGAATCAACAACATATTTTTACTGAAAACCTAGCTTTGCACGATATTCCTGAATATTGTAGATCAATAAAAAATGCTTCCAATTCGTTATGAAAATAATTAATTACTAAAGTTGGTCTAGTCAATAGTATAGATAATCATTCTATGAAAAAAGTTTTCTCTCCCATAGTAAGCTTGTTTTTCAACGTTTGATAAACGATAAATTCATGTATTCATTCAATCGAATCTATTCACTGAAGTGTTCTTTGTGTTAGTGAGATTAAAACTAACTACACAATAATAGTATCCATGTACGGGTGACAGAAGGAGGTTTAATGTTACTCATACCCATACTACAATACGAACAATGAAATATTCTTCAAAAATAGAAGAATGCTTTCAAATAACTATGAAAAAGAATTGGGTTTCACCATCGAACTACATAAAAAGTTTCTAACTATAATGAAAATATTATTTTCCAGCTATTCGATGAAATATTTCAACACTAAATCAAGGAATTGAACGAGTAAGGACCAGAAAACAAGAATCAAATCAATCAAACTAGTAGTGCCAAGTCAGAACAGTATAAGAAAATGTTTTGAATTGTAATGATATTACTATTAGTAACAAAACAAAATCAAATTTTTTTATATCATTATGTTTAGATACTCGATAAATACATTTAATAATGAAAATTAAAGAAAATATAATCGAGTGTAAAATTTCATTTCAATTTTGCAACATTTCGTTAACCAATGGTAATTTTATCAGTGAAAATAAGAGAAAAAAGTGGCTTGAAGTTATACGTTTATATTTTCTTATTCTCTATCTGAAATGTACTTGAAATTTAGGATCTACTTTTCTCTATCTGTTACAATTTTGCTTCTCTTGTTTCTCCTATTTTCACTGATGAAATTAACAGTTGTTAAGAAAAGGTTGCAAAATTAAAACAAAACGTTACACTCGATTATTTTCTTTTTAAATTTTATTAATAACAAACAACGATAAAGAAGGATGTTAGTTTGAATTTGTTATTCTGCGTACGGGTATGCATCAAACGCATATACACGGACACCTTACAGCTACATACACAAGCATAGTCATTTCCTAAATCGGCGCTCTCATCCGCGTTTTCATCGTTCACTCTTCTCTAATAATATTGTTGAGTTTGGTTTATAGAAATAACACCAAGTTAAATTTTGTTTCTTCTGTAAGTTTATTCGAACAAATTCATAAAAAAATAAACTTCAATATTATTAACACTTCAGATTTTATTTCATCTGAGAAAAATATACTCTCCAAAAATGAACATTTATTAAATGCTGAATTTATTAATGTTGTTCATTGTTTCTTAAATTGTTGTAAATCTAGCCTCATCGATGAGTCTCAACAAGTTTCTATAAAACTACTGTTTGAAAATTAGATGATTATACGAAATGTGAGATGTGAAAAACTTTTCAATTATCATGTTCACATAGGAAAATTGAATATTTTCAAAATCAAAAACGTCATTTTTAGCTGATTGTGGACAAATAGCATTCAAAATTGACTGATTTCATGATGAGTTTGATGCTTTGAAACGAAGATGATATTGAGGGTGTGAGTTAGGTATCCTAGAATCAGCTCTTTCCTTCTTGGTTTTAACAGACAAGAAGTCATGACCACGTACTCGATAGAAATTGCCTACTGTGAAGCGTGAATGAAGCAATCATCAACATTCACATCTTCACTCTAGTGACATGCACATTTCACACCCATACTCTCGATTGTTTTTTATGGAGAAATGCGTTAAAGTACTGGATCGAGCACCGAAGTGTTGGCGTTCAGGATTCGATGAATTTATATAGGAAAGCCGAGAGCGAATACGTCTGATTTTGTTTCTGGACAACAGTTCTAAGTATCTGTCATAAAAATTTCAGCACGGTCGAATAAAATTGAATGCCGAGGGAGATGATCATAAATAGACTCGATTGAGAAAACTAGTATTTTGCATTTGAGTTAAATAAAAAAAAAAACTTTCATTTGGATTCTTAGGAAAAATAGATTTCTTAAGTACAGTAATCTATTTAAAGTCGAATTACATCTTTAATTATTCAATTAGAGAAAAATCGAGCCAGTAGTGCTCTTAGTTTTATCAACACAATTCTCATTCATTAAAAGAAATCATTGTTATCTCATTCAATCTGTCAATGACAACTGCTACTAATTTACTTTTCTTTTGATGCTGACTATTACTGTCCGATTGTTCTAGTTTTTTCTGAGATATATGCACAAACAGATAAACATATTTTAAATTTTAACAATATATGCCTTTTGAAATCTATTTTGAATTTTCATTTCTAATGTTTTAAATGTATATGTAAATCAATTAGCCATTGTTCATATTTTATTAAATAATGAAATGATAAGCAACGCATGTCAAAAAAACCAAATCATTTTTAGCGGTAAACCGCGGTTTTACCATTAAGGAGCCGGTAGATTAGATAAAACCGCGGTTTACCGCTAAAAATGATCCGGTTTTTGTGACGTGGGAATCAAGGTATTCGCGCACGCGGAAAATAGTCTTTTAAATGTTCAGGAAATTCTGATTTATAATAAAAAAATACGTAGCTTAGTTTCGAACAATTATTTCGTGTAATATTTCTTCTGAAATTATGTGTCACTTTTTTCGTTAGTCGATAATCCATACAAACACGAACATTATCTGGTAAGCATGTTGTAATATCAAATAAAAATTGTCTATGATAATCTTTATGAGTTTTATGAAGGTCAAGTTGGATAAGATGAGGATATGTAATAATTGAAAAATTTTGATTTTTTGATTTTCTGCATTGTTTATTGTTTTGTTGTTTTCGATTAATTAAAGTTAACTTTTCCATATATGGAAATGATCGAGAAATTCGAAGAAAAAATTCATGTTCAAAAGGACGTTCATCATATAATGAGATATCACGAACAAATTCAAATAATCCACCTGGAAAACTATTTGTTATTTTATAATAATTTTTTGATTTATATGGATATGAATAAATATGACATTGACCTTGTCTTGCTTTTGGAAAATAATCAACATAAGAAATAATTTGATTAGCTTTAAAATCTCTGAATGTCTTTTGAATATTTTCATTTGATGGAAAATCAAGTTCATTATCAAGCTGAATAGTTGAGCAAATACTAAATTTAAATTTATTTAATCGTGACATATGATCGATGATATTTTTCTTTAAATCTTCACTATCAACAAATTTTTGTCTGCCTGTAACTTGAAGAAATAAATTTAATTCTTCCAAATTTAACATTCGATTTAGAAGTGGTACAATTAATTTATCGTAACAATCTGTATCCCAATCACTACGCAGCGAAAAGAATCTTAGATTAGGTAGTTTTTCCTAAAAAAAACAGTATTATTAATTTTATTAAATAAATTAGATAATAATTAAAAATAATCCACCTTATTATTAATTGTTGAATTTGAAGACATAGTGAAAGTAATATTAACATGAAGTGTGCGAAGTTGATTGAAACATCCATCAAGTAAATAAAGACAATCGATTAAGTCTGGCAAACATACATGTAATTCTAATAAACTTGAAGAGATTATTGTTGAAAGTTGAGCATCATATGATAATTGTTGATACCAAATTGAAGATGGACCAAAATTTAAATATCGTAAATTAGGGAACATAGTCAAAATATGTATAAATAAAAGTACATTCACATCTTCGGTTGATGTTCGTTGACCATTTGCACTAATATCGATAACAAGTACTGAAATTTGATTTTTAAGAGTCCAACTGAAAAAAGTTTCGTCTAAATTAAAAGAAATGATTGAGAAATATATGTTATATATTGTAGTTAAAATCAAAGTGTCTATGCTTTTTGTATTTTGTAATAATTATCTTCGTTCAAATTATTCAATAAACAACATTGTATAATAAATCTTGTATTTCTTATTATGAAACACCATCTCCAAATAATATAGACTAGAAATTTGCATCCCGTCCCCTTCCACAAATCCTGACAAACGTTATTGACATATATATATAGATTATAGAGTTTTAGTTAATAACTCTGGTGTGTTATTGAAAATTAAAGCTCCAAAACTTTTACAATACGCAACGTTTTCTATTTTAGAAAATTGACGGATGAGCCTGAGGCAATTTGTCCGAAAAATCTGGTATTAACAATTCGATACGGTTTTATTTCCTCTTTTTAACCGTGAAAATCGCAGATCTATATCTAGTTACTATCAAAAATACCCGTTCTTCTTTTGATTTGAAATGGATATTAAACCTCCCGACACATTAGAAGACCCTCCTTTGATAAATGAAGCAAAAGACATATTAGAAGACACCCCGCCCCCTCATCGACTGGATTTTTTAAAACAAGTTATATGACTCAATTTCACGTTAGAG